CTTCGCGATATTGTTCACGGATTTCATGGTGTTAAATTTCGCGAGAGATTATCCACGAATTTTGTGGAGTTTATTTCGCGAGGTCACTAATAATATTTAATACTTCTTGATAATATTAGAAGTTTTATAGAGGCAATTAAGACTATTATCAATAATTGTGTATATTATTTCTCCAAAATAGAGAATCATTTAATATATACTGCACTAGTGTTCACAGTATAATATTTACTAATTGCCAACCCACAACAGGGTAGGATATTAACATTGACTAGTTGAACTATTATCGTTCATCCTAGTCCCATTACCATAGTCAGTTGTACTATATTGAACAACCTAACACCATTAATGAATGGTCCAGACCCTATTTTGGGTGTAATTTTTTATCAACTCGAGTTGAGTTGTATATATAATAATTTACTTATGATCATTACACCTTTGAGTGATTAATTAGTGTCTCTACCATCCTAGGGTGATATAGAAGAGCTAACCTAAAGGTACTTCCAGTGACACTGGTTTATCACTCAAATCATTAGTGTGTATGATTGTATATATATAATGTGTATTAATTTTAAGTGCTAACCTCTAGAAGAGGTAGGATTATTGCCTAGTGAGTTCAGAATTTACCCTAGGCTACCATCAGTACTTGTTCAGTATTATGAGCGACCCAAGTACAAGTCCCACAAGGCTTCACCAACTAGCCAGTATGGATAATGCAGGGAGAATGAAAAGAACCCTTGCAGGTCTTAAAGGCCACTTAACAAGACAGATCAAGAAATGTGAAGATTTGTCACAACAATCTCCAGTTGATTATGCTGACCTGGAAAGCTGTTATCAAGCAGCTGCAGGTAAATTTGAGCAAATTATATGCCAAATAGCTCTCCTTGTGGGGACAGACTACTACCATCAATTCATCGGTAGCCCTACTAAATATCAGGGCATAACCATGTTAAACTCTGCAGGAGGTAAATTACTCTCAGGCCCAGTATCAAGCCTGAGGAGACCTATGCCTGCAGATAAACAATACCAGTAGAAATCTAAATTTGTCAGCTGATTATATTTCTCCAGTAGCATTATACTAAGGAGATTACAGCTGACTATACCAACAGAGGTTGATGTTAGTATCATCATTTAAAGCTGAAGATGAGTTCATGAGGCCTCAGTGGCAAATCAGTGAACAGTAGCCTAAAACAGCTACAAGCCACCGCGACCAATGTCACTGAACCCACTGCAGTCTCAGAACCATACTTTACTTTAATGATAAGCTATTCAATCTTCTGAATCAATTAACTAAATTAAACCCCAATAAATCTGATGACTGATTTGATACATTTATTATTTAATCAAGATGTATTCCATGGGCCTCAGTGTTTATATATCAGTGACCAGTTACCTGAACAAACTTCAAGTTATATCTAATGTCGCTGATCTCACTGCAGTCCCTGAATCATACTTGACTGTAGTACTTGATCACATCCAGTCTTCTGGGTTAAATAATAAGTAATTAGGCTTGAATATTAGCCTTTCAAGAGTAGACAGGGAAATGAAATCGCATTAGACTTCTAACCCCTGCAACTCTAGTACGGGACATCCGTCCTGTACGAACAGACGCACAAATGTGTGATTACTAACTACTAACATCAAATTAATCTAATAATTCGAAGGAGGAGTATCGGTGTTCGTCTGTTCTAAATAGGACTTTGACCCGTGAGCAGCCCCTGGGGAATTATGTCGGAAAATCCGACACCATTTAATATAACATACAGACAGATAATAAGTGCTGTATTGTATAAACAAGTTAACCCATAGAAAACGTAACTTGTAGTGGAATTACCGTCTATAGAAAACGGGATATCACCACCACACACTATTATATATTCACCTCTTATTATGGTGGGAATTATTCTTAAATACATTAGTCTTTGGACTTTACCATCATAAAACATTTCATATAAATTAACTTAATTATCAATATTAAAGTAGAGTAAATGTGACCCTTCTATCACTTTCTGTCATCTGGACAATGTAGGTCAGGCGTCAGTGTGAGGGAGTGGTCAGAGCTTTGTTGTTGTCACCTCCGGGACGCGTGGAGCAAATTCGGCTCCTATCATATCTGGACAATGTCGGCCAGTAGCGTCAGTAGTATGGAGTGTCAACCATAGCCATTATTGTTGTTGTCACCTCCGAGACGCGTGGAGCAAATTCGGCTCCTATCATATCTGGACAATGTCGGCCAGTAGCGTCAGGGAGGAAGGAGGGGCAGCCATTGTTTATACTAGACCAGAGGCGCAGGGAGCAATTCGGCTCCTGTTAATTTTACTTGGACGAAGTGTTATGGAAACCAAAGGTGTACCATTATCACACGCTGTCAACAAATTCAAGTTAAGTGTTCTTTCCGAAACCCGTTTAACTTTCATTTATGGCCATTAATGTCATTATATAGGGTGACCCGGTTAGAGCACGACATAGCCTCATACTAAAGGTAATTAAGCCAGGTCTTCATTGTTCCATGTACAGTGTTTCTCTGATATAGCTTGTCATATATAGGATTCTGGCTTTACAGCTAGCGCCCTTTTAACAGGTCAAGACGAGGAAGTATGCTTTGTGCATCAGTTACCAGGGTGATGGAAGCTACCTCAAAGAGGTAAAATGTGGTGTCTACACCCTAGTTATACCTGGTGGACTAAGACCTGCTGTACTATAAGATAAGGAACCTCTTCAATGTATGTAGTCTAATACTGTAGTTTGATTGGCTGCATATATATAAATTCATTTAATATAAACCCCCCCCCCCCTAATGTGTAGAGGATCGATTTGTGAGATTATGAGATTATTGCAGAAATACAGTCCACTTATCATTATACAAATTGCTATTGAAGTATATAAATTAACGTAAATATAAATTCATATAAATTAAATAAATATAAATCTCACAGGTCGGTTCCCACATGTACAACAGTTACCTACACTGTGTACAACAGTCACCCACACTGTGTACAACAGTCACCCACACTGTGTACAACAGTCACCCACACTGTGTACAACAGTCACCTACACTGTGTACAACAGTCACCTACACTGTGTACAACAGTCACCTACACTGTGTACAACAGTCACCTACACTGTGTACAACAGTCACCTACACTGTGTACAACAGTCACCTACACTGTGTACAACAGTCACCTACACTGTGTACAACAGTCACCTACACTGTGTACAACAGTCACCTACACTGTGTACAACAGTCACCCACACTGTGTACAACAGTCACCTACACTGTGTACAACAGTCACCCGCACTGTGTACAACAGTCACCTACACTGTGTACAACAGTCACCCGCACTGTGTACAACAGTCACCTACACTGTGTACAACAGTCACCTACACTGTGTACAACAGTCACCTACACTGTGTACAACAGTCACCTACACTGTGTACAACAGTCACCTACACTGTGTACAACAGTCACCTACACTGTGTACAACAGTCACCTACACTGTGTACAACAGTCACCCACACTGTGTACAACAGTCACCTACACTGTGTACAACAGTCACCTACACTGTGTACAACAGTCACCCACACTGTGTACAACAGTCACCCACACTGTGTACAACAGTCACCTACACTGTGTACAACAGTCACCTACACTGTGTACAACAGTCACCCACACTGTGTACAACAGTCACCTACACTGTGTACAACAGTCACCCACACTGTGTACAACAGTCACCTACACTGTGTACAACAGTAACCCACACTGTGTACAACAGTCACCTACACTGTGTACAACAGTAACCCACACTGTGTACAACAGTAACCCACACTATGTTAGGGGGCGTCATCAACACAATAAATTTATAAGATGCAACGGAAGAGAGACTGGCCAACAGTCACACCTTGCAACACATACACCCCATGTCTCTCACCTCCACCCCCATACCCCAAGACACCGTCCAGGAAGCCACCTCCATACCCCAAGACACCGTCCAGGAAGCCACCTCCATACCCCAAGACACCGTCCAGGAAGCCACCTCCATACCCCAAGACACCGTCCAGGAAGCCACCTCCATACCCCAAGACACCGCCCAGGAAGCCACCTCCATACCCCAAGACACCGTCCAGGAAGCCTCCTCCATACCCAAAGACAGGGTCCAGGAAGCCACCCCCATACCCTAAGACAGGGTCCTGGAAGCCACCTCCATACCCTAAGACAGGGTCCTGGAAGCCACCTCCATACCCTAAGACAGCGTCCTGGAAGCCACCTCCATACCCCAAGACACCGTCCAGGAAGCCACCTCCATAACCTAAGACACCGTCCTGGAAGCCTCCTTCTTACCCCAAGACACCGTCCAGGAAGCCACCTCCATACCCCAAGACACCGTCCAGGAAGCCACCTCCATACCCTAAGACAACGTCCTGGAAGCCACCTCCATACCCTAAGACAACGTCCTGGAAGCCACCTCCATACCCTAAGACAACGTCCTGGAAGCCACCTCCATACCCCAAGACACCGTCCAGGAAGCCACCTCCATACCCCAAGACACCGTCCAGGAAGCCACCTCCATACCCAAAGACAGGGTCCAGGAAGCCACCCCATACCCAAAGACAGGGTCCAGGAAGCCACCCCCATACCCTAAGACAGGGTCCTGGAAGCCACCTCCATACCCTAAGACAGCGTCCTGGAAGCCACCTCCATACCCAAAGACAGGGTCCATGAAGCCACCCCATACCCAAAGACAGGGTCCAGGAAGCCACCCCCATACCCTAAGACATGGTCCTGGAAGCCACCTCCATACCCTAAGACAGCGTCCTGAAAGCCACCTCCATACCCCAAGACACCGTCCAGGAAGCCACCTCCATAACCTAAGACACCGTCCTGGAAGCCTCCTTCTTACCCCAAGACACCGTCCTGGAAGCCACCTCCATACCCCAAGACACCGTCCAGGAAGCCACCTCCATACCCTAAGACAACGTCCTGGAAGCCACCTCCATACCCTAAGACAACGTCCAGGAAGCCACCTCCATACCCCAAGACAACGTCCAGGAAGCCACCTCCATACCCCAAGACAACGTCCAGGAAGCCACCTCCATACCCCAAGACACCGTCCAGGAAGCCACCTCCATACCCCAAGACACCGTCCAGGAAGCCACCTCTATACCCCAAGACACCGTCCAGGAAGCCACCTCCATACCCCAAGACACCGTCCAGGAAGCCACCTCCATACCCCAAGACACCGTCCAGGAAGCCACCTCCATACCCCAAGACACCGTCCAGGAAGCCACCTCCATACCCCAAGACACCGTCCAGGAAGCCACCTCCATACCCCAAGACACCGTCCAGGAAGCCACCTCCATACCCCAAGACACCGTCCAGGAAGCCACCTCCATACCCCAAGACACCGTCCAGGAAGCCACCTCCATACCCCAAGACACCGTCCAGGAAGCCACCTCCATACCCCAAGACACCGTCAGGAACCCTCCATACCCCAAGACACCGTCCTGGAAGCCACCTCCATACCCCAAGACAACGTCCAGGAAGCCACCTCCACCTGTATATTAACGCTACAGAAAAAGACAGTCAAGGGTAGGGCAGGCGGAGACCAGGAGCTTGTACACAACCGGAAACACTGCTATACCTGTCCTCTCAAATAACACATTTCATTTTTAACGTCATAATCCACAACAGACAAAATATGCTTGTAAATCACAGCGGCTAACATCACGTTTTCTATGTGCCAGTCGTCGGCCAGGCCAGGCTAGGCTATACGTTCGAGCAATTGAGTACATCATTTTTCTGACGTTGTGGCAACGCCAGATGACGCGTAGAGGACACACACATTAGGTACCAGTTAAAATATAGCTGAAAAGTCGGGTCCTAGAACTAGATCCCGCTCACTACAGACCTAGTTAAGCAAATCCAGTCAACTTAAACACCCACCAACAGACCGACCCACCTACCTACCCATCCACCCACCCCATACCCACCTACCTACCCATCCACCCACCCCATACCCACCTACCTACCCATCCACCCACCCCATACCCACCTACCTACCCATCCACCCACCCCATACCCACCTACCTACCCATCCACCCACCCCATACCCACCTACCTACCCATCCACCCACCCCATACCCACCTACCTACCCATCCACCCACCCCATACCCACCTACCTACCCATCCACCCACCCCATACCCACCTACCAACCCTACCCAACTAAACGTAACTTTTCGTTGCACTTTATATAATTATGTAAACGCCGCCTGTAACTCAGCATTACCATATTAACAATCCTTATAGAATTTTTAGTTTTGACTTTACCCGCTAGTTATTACCGGCGCTTCCAGCACCCCCCCCCCCCCATGGCTGGGGTCCTGACGTCTGTTGTTCCTGTGACGTCTGTTGTTCCTGTGACGTCTGTTGTTACTGTAACGTCTGTTGTTACTGTAACGTCTGTTGTTACTGTAACGTCTGTTGTTACTGTAACGTCTGTTGTTACTGTAACGTCTGTTGTTACTGTGACGTCTGTTGTTACTGTAACGTCTGTTGTTACTGTGACGTCTGTTGTTACTGTAACGTCTGTTGTTACTGTAACGTCTGTTGTTCCTGTGACGTCTGTTGTTACTGTAACGTCTGTTGTTACTGTAACGTCTATTGTTCCTGTGACGTCTGTTGTTCCTGTGACGTCTATTGTTCCTGTGACGTCTATTGTTCCTGTGACGTCTGTTGTTCCTGTGACGTCTGTTGTTCCTGTGACGTCTGTTGTTCCTGTGACGTCTATTGTTCCTGTGACGTCTATTGTTCCTGTGACGTCTATTGTTCCTGTGACGTCTATTGTTCCTGTGACGTCTATTTGGTCCTGTATTAATGGTCATATTTGCCAAACGATCATTAATGGTCACTTGTCAATCTCCGTGGCGCAGTGTTAAGACACTCGCCCCGTGCTTCACGAGCAATTTGGCCAGAGCTCGTATCCTTGCTGGTGATAATTACCTGGGCGCCAATCTTTAACTAGCCCGTCCTCATAAACAAAGGTCAAAGTCCATTCCATGCACCCGCCAAACCCCCCCTTCCCCCCCCCCCCCCGTTCATGAACGATAAAAGGTCTACCCAACCCGTCATTGGACCAAGTAAGTAAGTAATTATCAAAAGAAGGCACCAAACCGGGAAGGCTATGTAGCACCATCAAATGCGCAAAATAATCAGAGGGCGCTAAATATCACCAAGGATGCCAATACGAGAACAAAAACGCATAAGGCGAACGATATCAAAAGTATCAGAGTCACCAGAATTCTATTGAGGGACAGGTGACCGCGAGGGGCGGTCGGAAAGCAAGACACACGCTCGTCCTGGAAGTCAGGACATTCAAGAAGGACATGCACGACCGTAAGAGGGACAATGCAACTAGGACAATAAGGAGCAGGGCGGCGCTCCATCAAGTGACCATGGGTTAAGCGAGTATGGCCAATACGCAACCTCGCCAGAGCTGTTTCCCACCGCCTGTTACGGTGGAAGGAGGACGGCCACGAGGAAACACAACATTTAAGAGTACGTAGTTTGTTACCAGTAACAGACAACCAAGAAGCCTGCCAACGGATAAGGACGGAGGAATGGATAACCGGGTAAAAGTCGGAATACGGAATACCTTTACGAGAGATGGGACAAGAGCGGACAGCTTCCTTGGCAGCAGCATCCGCACGCTCATTTAAAGACACACCAATATCGCAGGGAACCCAACAAAACTCAACCAACTTAAATTTACTGTGAACAAGAAACAGCCAATGCTGGATCTCGACAACTACTGGATGAACCGGATTAAAGGACTCGAGAGCCATGAGGGCACTACGAGAGTCAACAACAACTACAAAGGAAGACTGACAACGAGAAAGCAGGAGACGAAGAGCATAGAGAATAGCATAAAGCTCCGCTGTAAAGATGCTAGTCTCCGGAGGTAAGCGATACATATAAGTGCGATCAGGAAAAACAACACAGTAGCCAACACCTTCCGCAGACTTAGACCCATCGGTGAAGGCAGAAACGGAGCGGGAGTGAGAAGAAAAGTGCTCAAGGAAAAGGCGTTTTAGAACCGTAGGAGGGGTAAAAGCTTTAGTGATGCAGGTCAAGGATGTACAAAACTGCGGAAGGGGGACTCTCCATGGGGGCAAAGAAGGAATAACACGAGGAGAAACATTAGAAACATGAATGGAAAGAGAATCCTGTAAGCGAGATAACCGGACAGAAAGAGGGAGGTGGTGAAGAGGAACAGGACCCGCAGGAGGGGTAAAAGTTAAAGCATTCAGAGGCGAGAGGAAGGATGTTGTAAGGACCGCGCTAGATAGCGAAGACAGTAGCGATCACGGCAGTCCTAGAGAGACAGGAAGCCAGTGTCAACATACAAGCTAAGGACGGGAGTCGAACGAAAGGCACCAAAACTGAGGCGCAACCCAGTATGGTGTAAAGCATCATGACGGCGAAGAGTAGAGAAGGAGAAGCAGACGAGTAAGCAGGGCAACCATAATCGAGCTTAGACAGGACAAGAGAGGAATATAAAGCAACGAGAGTGCGCCTATCCGCTCCCCAAGAAGTATGGGACAATACCCGAAGGAGGGAAAGGGCCTTAGAGCACTCAACACGGAGGTAAGAGATATGGGGAGACCAAGACAAACGAATGTCAAGGAATAACCCCAAAAGCTTCGCAGAATCTTTGTACTCAATGGGATGACCATAAAGTGACATAGAGGGACGAAGAACGACCCGTTTTCGAGTAAAAGACATGGCGCATATCTTAGAAGTAGAGAACTTGAAGCCATGATTGGTGGCCCAAGACGACACGGCATCAATCGCAAGTTGAAGCCGGCGCTGAAGGAGAGGCGAATCATCACCCTGACAGCAAACGGTAAGATCATCGACATAGAGAGCGGATAAGACACCTGAAGGAAGAGAGGAAAGAAGACCATTGAGGGCAATCAGAAAAAGAGTAGTGCTCAGAACACTACCCTGGGGCACACCTTCGTATTGCTGAAAAGAGGCAGAGAGAGCGGTACCAAGCCGCACCCGAAAGGAAGCTGCGGAGAAAGAGAGGGAGATGACCACGAAGGCCAAAAGAATGAAGCTGGGATAGAATATGATATCGCCAAGTGGTGCCGTAAGCCTTTTCCAGGTCAAAAAGGACGGCAACAACAGAGGTCCTCGCAGCAAAAGCAGTACGAATATAGACCTCCAAGTTCACCAGGACATCTGTCGTGCTGCGGCACTTGCGGAAACATAATTGAGAAGGGGAGAGGAGGTGATGGTGTTCCAGGAACCACATCAGACGAACGTTAACCATACGTGCAAAGAGTTTGCAGACACAACTTGTGAGGGCAATAGGGCGAAAGTAATTAGAAGTTCCCAGAGACCCTGGTTTGCGAATAGGGAGGACAATGGCATCGAGCCAGTCCTCAGGGACTGACGACGAATCCCAGATCCGATTATACAGACTCAGTAAATACTGAGACGTGCACAGAGGGAGATGGCAAAGCATCTCGTAATGAATACCATCGGAGCCCGCCGCCATAGAACCGCAGAGGGCCAGGGCAGAACGAAGTTTAGAGACAGAGAAGGGATCGTTATAGGAAAGTCGAAGACGAGTGCAGAAATCTAAAGGACGAGACTCAAGGACAGGTTTACGAAGAAGGAAAGATTGGGGAAGATGGAGACCAGCGCTATCAGAAGAAAAGTGGGAACCCAGTTCGGTAGCGACCTGCAACGGGACATTCACAAGAGTACCACGGAGGTGAAGGACCGGTGAAACATCGGGAACGAACTTAACCGCTATCTTGCGAATACGCTTCCAGATTTGTGGCAGGGGAGTTTCGGAGGTAATTGTGGAGACATAAGATGCCCAACATTCACGTGTAGCCGTATGGATGGCCCTACGGGCCACCGCACTCGCTCTCCAAAAGAAAAGAAAAGAATCGGCCGTCTGCCGACGGCGATGCCTCTGCCAGGCTGCACGCTTACAGCGGACAGCCCGAGCACAGTCCGCATTCCACCAGGGAACGCACTTCCGTGGACCCGAGAGGAAGAGCGAGGAATAGAGCGGAGGGCAGCGTCGAAGACAGTGTCATGAAAAAGGAGGAGAGCGCGATGGAGAGGCAGAAGGGAGAGGTCAGAGAGAGCAGCACTGAGGGTAAATAGGTTCCAGTCCGCTCTAGCAAACTGCCACCTAGGGAAGGAGAGGGAAGGTCGAAAAGAAAAAAAGGAAATAAGGATGGGGAAATGGTCACTGCCATGGAGGTCATCAAGAGCCTGCCATGTGAAATCTAAGTTAAGAGAAGAAGAGCAGAGAGAAAGATCAAGACAGGAAAGGGTGCGAGTCCGAGAGTCCAAATGAGTGGGCTCACCAGAATTCAGAAGAGACAGGAAGGAAGAGAGGATAAACGGCTCAAGAAGGCGACCTCCGGTATTCGTCAGAACATCACCCCAAAGAGAATGACGACAATTGAAATCACCCAGCAGGAGCACAGACTCCGGCAAGGAGTCCAGAGGTGTTTCAGATCAGGAAGAGAAAGCGGGACACTCTGGGGGAAGATAAATGGAACAAACTGTGTACCATTTCCCCACAAAGATACGAGCAGCAGAACAATGGAGAGGCGAAGGAAAAAGTAAAGGGACAAAGGGAACATCAGAGTGAATCAAGAGAGCAGAAGAATTAGGAGCCCCAGCAACAGCTGGGGGGGGGGGGGAAGGAGAGAAAGGAATAGCCCCGAAAACAACCAGGACGAGCACCAAGCATCGGCTCCTGGAGACAGACACAAAGGGGCGAAAACCGCGAAATCAAAAGTGGGAGTTCGAGGAAATTGGTGTAATAACCTTGAACGTTCCATTGAAGAATAGACATCGACAAGAAGAGAAAGGACAACAACAGAGAACAAGGAAGAAACAAAGGCGAAAGAGCAACAGAGCACGTTAAAGAAGATCAAGGTCGGGATCAGGGTCAGCAAATTCAGGGTTAGGGGGCATGGGTAAACTGAGCAAAGATGGAGGAAAGGAAGCGGGAGAACAGACCAGAGGTGGGGCGGGCGGGGTCCGGAGGAGGAGGAGGAAGAGGAGACAACGGAGAGGAGCAGTCAAGGACAGCAGCAGGAAGAGGGGGAGTAGAAAGAGGGGAGCGCACCTCAACAAGGGCAGCAACCGATAGGGAAGCGGGGGCCAAAGAAACCTCCATAGCAGGAACAGGGGGCACAACCATCGAAATGGGAGGGGAAGAAGCGATAGAGGCAGAAGTAGGGGCCGAGGAAGAAAGCAAAACCTTCTTACCCGCCGGGGAGGAGGAAGGACAGGAGTCAGGCTTACGCTTCTGACTTAAAGAGACAGGTGTCCCAGCAACTACGTACTGGGCAACGGATTCTAGCATCTCAACAGAAGCTGAACGAGAGCACACATGACGGCCGTTTGGAGAGCGATGGACATCAGCCCGCACCGACAGGCGGCGGGGAGAGTCAAGAGACAGAGGGGAAGGATGGGAAGGAGGAACGGAGGGAGACGAGGAAGAAGACACAGGAGACAAGACAGACTGGGTAGAAAGAAGGGGAACCCCAGACAGAGGACCAGGAGGTGGATCCTTCAGGACAGAACTCAAAGGAACAGAGGACGGGGCAGTGGGCATATCAGGGTCCAAGGCTCGGAAACGGTGGCAAGTCTGAGGAAGGTGGGAAGGACGAGAAGAGGAAGAGCGCAACACGCGAGCATAAGAGACAAGAGACTTTAGCATAAGGCGGGAGCCGGCGAACCTGGCGGCTTGCCTCAGGAAAAGATAATCGCTCCCGGTGCTTCAAGTTGAGGACGGCTGCCTCAAGCTTGTAATGGACACACGCACGGGAGAAGGTAGGATGGGCCTCACCGCAGTTGAGGCAACGAGCCTGGGGAGAAGTGCACTCCGACTTAGAGTGACCTTCGCCACCACACAAAGGACAGAGAGAGACAGTCCCGGAGCAGCGGAGGGCACCATGCCCAAACCTCCAGCACTTGTTGCAGAGCCGAGGAGAGGGAATGTACTCCTGGACAGAGCACCTGGCACCAGCAAGCATATCAGAGGGTGGAAGGGTCCTACCATCAAAGGTAATCTTCACAACCCGGAGGGGTTGACGGCGACTACCTCGAGGGGGACGAGTAAACGTGTCCACCTGGAGAATAGAATGGCCCTGGGCAGCGAGGATATGTCGAATATCGTCGTGGCAGTCGCGCAGGTCCCGAACACCGGTCGCAACATGGGGCGGGAGGAGAATAGTGCCAACACTGGCGTTTAACTGAGCGTTCTTTGAGACCCAAACAGGGGTCTCGCCAAGGCAGGATAAGGCAGCCAAGCAGGAAGCTGCATCCTGAGAAGGAGCAGCAACGACACGTGTACGAGACGAGTGGGGTTGAAAGTAATGGAGGCATCCACGGAATCAACGAGATGTCGATGGAGGGAGAAATCGTCAGGAGGCGCAGAATCAAGAGGGAGGAGATCAAAATATTTGGCCCATGAAGCGGGACCAAACAAGGCTTTATAGGTATCAGAACGGGAAGGAATCGAGTGAGGGCGGCCGTGACGAGGACGGCGTTGAGAACCCCCAGAGAGAGAGGGGTTAAAAGGCGCAGTAGTTACAACTAGAGTTGGAGCCGCGTAAGGGGGCGAGGTAGTCACCACTGGGGGCTTGGGGCTCGAGCCAACCACAGAGGAGGGAGGTGAGCCGAGGGGAAGGAGTCAGAGAGGCCAAAGGAGGAGGAAGGTCGGGGCCCAATGCAGCGAAGGCTACAGAGCCCGGTCTTCCAACACAGACTGACTCGGGGGGCTTAGTCGCCCACCTCACAAGCCTAAGAAGGTAAAGGAAAAACAGTAGAAACAGTATACATCATCGCTACAAAAAAGAAACATTCATTCACGAATGTGCCCCCACACCCACCATGGAGCCACAATTAGAGGCAGGACACCCAACAAGAAGCTATCGCAAATCATGCCGGAGCCCCCTAGGGGTGCGTCGTGAGTATACGCCCCACAAATGCCACCTTAAGAACCGACAGTCCGTCGAGATCGGGTTCAGTGACGAAAGGGGGATTGACAATAAAAGGTTCCCCTCGCTCTCATCGTTGGGTACTACAGTTCTACGGGTGCAAGAGTATGCCTCCTCAAGCACCCGGGCATCAAAATAGAAGAAATCCAAAGGAATAACCAAAACAAGCAAAAGGTCGGCAGAAAACGGCAAGCAGATAGGAGAAGAGGGGGGGGGGGAGAAAAACGAAACAGAAGGAAAAGGAAAAGTTGCTCAGCACAATTGGAGAGGACGGCAGCAGGAGCACAAGGCTACTAAAGGACAGAGGACTGTCCCAAGGAGCATCACACTCCGACAGCCGCCTACTAAGCCTCCCTCATGGCATCAACGAGCTGAGTGGGGAGGGGGGTGCTACTTGGGTAGGCTCATCCTCCTGTGGGGTAGTTGCCAGGGATTCAGGGGGAGGTGGAGTGGGGGATGGGGGGCTTAGGTCTTGCCTGGGCCTGTCTGGAACAGGAAGAAGACCAGGGGATGGGAAGGCAGGGGATACTCAGGATAAGGGGGGAGGGAGGATTTGGGTGATATGGTGGACATTGTGCAGGGGCAAGGAAGGATTTGAGCTGGGAATGGGGGGGGCCAATGGGGAGGTGGACTAGGGTGTTGCAGTCCCCTCTGGGGTTCCCAAATTACTGGGTTGGGGTTCCCCACTCCCCTCTGGGAGTGCTGGGATGGAGGCTGATCCCTGGCTCCCTTCCCTCTCCCTGCGCCTTTTCCTTGCAACTGCTGCCCTTATTATCTCGACCTTGGTCATGTCCCTCTGAAGGTATACCTCTGTAATTCCTTGCATATTTCAGTTTGTTCTTCTTTACTAATATGTCCTCTTTGGTGCCTTCGTTCCTGAATACTACCTTGATCAATCTCTGTCTTTTTTGTACTGGCCAATCCGGAAAGACTGTTCTATGTCTCGTTCAGCCCCTTCCATTCCTATCTCCTTTAGTATGCCTCACACTGCAGTTGTTGTTGTTGTTGTTAAAGATTCGCTACCTGGAACAAGAGTGCGCCCACTCGCCTGTCCCTCACTGTGGGTGGAAGAGTGCGCCCGCCCCTCACACTGCAGCTTTGTCCTTAGTCCTCCATTCTTCGCTTGTGGAACCCTTTTGTCCTTAATACCTATCGCTACTACAGCTCTTTCCCTTTCCAGTAGCTGTCTTGGGGAATCTAGCTGCCTCCTGTGAGGGTTCATTACAACTTCCTTGACTGTGGACATGGCATCTGGGCTCTTCAGCAAAGGTTGCACTAAGTGTAGGGGTCCCTGCCATTGCTACATCTCCCTGATATCTGGGGGCTGGTTGCCTGGGCCAGAGTCTGAGGAGGGCTTGATTTTTAAGTTTGTTATCTTCTCTTGCGCTGCACTTAATTCTACCTGCAGCTTACTTATAGTTTCCCCTCAGGTCCTCAATTCCCCACTGATTTCCTTCCATGCCTTAGTAATCATCTCCATGTGTGACTCGTCCTGTTCCTCTCCAACTTTCTTCTGTTGTCTTACCATCCCCTTGACCTGTGTGTGTGTGTGTTTATAGGTGTGTGTGTGTGTGTGTGTGTGTGTGTGTGTGTGTAATTACCTAAGTGTAATTACCTAAGTGTAGTTACAGGATGAGAGCTACGCTCGTGGTGTCCCGTCTTCCCAGCAACGTGTACAAAACAAAGCACTCCGCTTTGCGGCGGCGACCCTGTCGCTGGCGGACAAGGGTATGGACGGACCAGATCCACCGAGCCCTCAACATGATGTCAATGAATATCAGGCTCAGCTACTTGGCCAGAAAGCAGCTGTATCGTATGAAACACGTTCCAGAAAATGAGGAACCCCACGAAGCAATCAACACAGCCAGAGGCTATGAGATGTGTGTGTGTGTGTGTGTGTGTGTGTGTGTGTGTGTGTGTGTGTGTGTGTGTGTGTGTGTGTGTGTGTGTGTGTGTGTGTGTGTGTGAAAAATAGTAGTAACAGTTGATTGACAGTCGACAGGCAGGCCGAAAGGGCAGAGCTCAACCCCCGCAAGCACGACTGGGTAAATACACACACAGGTGGGCGCCATTCAGCATGTTGTCGTTAGCGTCATACAACCATTAATGTCTCGCAAAAAACAACTAACCACAATATCACTACAATTTAAAATTCTTTGATGTGCTGATATTAATTTGTGCGGAATAGGTGGAGCATTGATGGAAGAGTGCGCCCGTCCGTCCCTCGCTGAGGGTGGAGAAGTGCGCCCGCCCGTCCCTCACTGTGGGTGGAAAAGTGCGCCCGCCACCCCGGCCCTCGCTGTAAGTGGAAGAGTGCACCCGCCCGCCCCTCGCTGTGGGTGGAAGAGTGCGCCCGCCCCTCGCTGTGGGTGGAAGAGTGCGCCCGCCCCTCGCTGTGGGTGGAAGAGTGCGCCCGCCCCTCGCTGTGGGTGGAAGAGTGCGCCCGCCCCTCGCTGTGGGTGGAAGAGTGCGCCCGCCCCTCGCTGTGGGTGGAAGAGTGCGCCCGCCCCTCGCTGTGGGTGGAAGAGTGCGCCCGCCCCTCGCTGTGGGTGGAAGAGTGCGCCCGCCCCTCGCTGTGGGTGGAAGAGTGCGCCCGCCCCTCGCTGTGGGTGGAAGAGTGCGCCCGCCCCTCACTGTGGGTGGAAGAGTGCGCCCGCCCCTCGCTGTGGGTGGAAGAGTGCGCCCGCCCCTCGCTGTGGGTGGAAGAGTGCGCCCGCCCCTCGCTGTGGGTGGAAGAGTGCGCCCGCCCCTCACTGTGGGTGGAAGAGTGCGCCCTCCCGTCCCTCACTGTGGGTGGAAGAGTGCGCCCGCCCGTCCCTCGCTGTGGGTGGAAGAGTGCGCCCGCCCGTCCCTCGCTGTGGGTGGAAGAGTGCGCCCGCCCGCCCTTCACTGTGGGTGGAAGAGTGCGCCCTCCCGTCCCTCACTGTGGGTGGAAGAGTGCGCCCGCCCGTCCCTCGCTGTGGGTGGAAGAGTGCGCCCGCCCGTCCCTCGCTGTGGGTGGAAGAGTGCGCCCGCCCGCCCGCCCGTCCCTCGCTGTGGGTGGAAGAGTGCGCCCTCCCGTCCCTCGCTGTGGGTGGAAGACTGCACCCGCCCGCCCGTCCCTTACTGTCGGTGGAAGAGTGCGCCCGCCCTCTCGCCCGCCCTTCACTGTGGGTGGAAGAGTGCGCCCGCCCACCCCTCGCTGTGCGTGGAAGAGTGCGCTCCCCCGCCCCTCACTGTGGGTGGAAGAGTGCGCCCGCCCACCCCTCGCTGTGCGTGGAAGAGTGCGCCCGCCCGCCCGCCCTTCACTGTGGGTGGAAGAGTACGCCCGCCCGCCCTTCACTGTGGGTGGAAGTGCGCGCCCGCCCGCCCTTCACTGTGGGTGGAAGAGTGCGCCCGCCCGCCCCTCGCTGTGGGTAGAAGAGTGCGCCCGCCCGTCCCTCACTGTGGTTGGAAAAGTGCGCCCGCCAGCCCCTCACTGTGGTTGGAAAAGTGCGCCCGCCCGCCCGTCCATCGCTGTGGGTGTAAGAGTGTGCCCACTCGTCCCTCACTGTGGGTGGAAGAGTGCGCTCCCCCGCCTCTCACTGTGGGTGGAAGAGTGCGCCCGCCCGCCCGTCCCTCACTGTGGGTGGAGGAGTGCGCCCGCACGCCCTTCGTTGTGGGTGGAAGAGTGCGCCCGCCCGTCCCTCGCTGTGGGTGGAAGAGTGCGTCCGCATGCCCGTCCATCACTGTGGGTGGAAGAGTGCCATCTCTGTGGGTGGAAGAGTGCGTCCGCCCGCCCGTCCATCACTGTGGGTGGAAGAGTGCGCCCGCCCGCCCGTCCATCACTGTGGGTGGAAGAGTGCCATCTCTGTGGGTGGAAGAGTGCGCCCGCCCGCCCCTTACTGTGGGTGGAAGAGTGCACCAGCCCGCCCCTCACTGTGGGTGGAAGAGTGCGCCCGCCCGCCCCTTACTGTAGATGGAAGAGTGCACCCGCCCCCCCCCTCACTGTGGGTGGAAGAGTGCGCCCGCCCGCCCCTTACTGTAGATGGAAGAGTGCACCCGCCCCCCCCCTCACTGTGGGTGGAAGAGTGCACCCGCCCACCCCTCACTGTGGGTGGAAGAGTGCACCCGCCCCCCCCCCTCACTGTGGGTGGAAGAGTGCGCCCGCCCACCCCTCACTGTGGGTGGAAGAGTGCGCCCGCCCGCCCCTTACTGTGGATGGAAGAGTGCACCCGCCCCCCCCCCCCTCACTGTGGGTGGAAGAGTGCGCCCGCCCACCCCTCACTGTGGGTGGAAGAGTGCGCCCGCCCGCCCCTTACTGTGGATGGAAGAGTGCACCCGCCCCCCCCCTCACTGTGGGTGGAAGAGTGCACCAGCCCGCCCCTCACTGTGGGTGGAAGAGTGCGCCCGCCCGCCCCTTACTGTGGATGGAAGAGTGCACCCGCCCCCCCCCCCTCACTGTGGGTGGAAGAGTGCACCCGCCCACCCCTCACTGTGGGTGGAAGAGTGCGCCCGCCCACTCCTCACTGTGGGTGGAAGAGTGCACCCCCCCTCACTGTGGGTGGAAGAGTGCGCCCGCCCACCCCTCACTGTGGGTGGAAGAGTGCACCCGCCCACCCCTCACTGTGGGTGGAAGAGTGCGCCCGCCCACCCCTCACTGTGGGTGGAAGAGTGCACCCCCCCCCCTCACTGTGGGTGGAAGAGTGCGCCCGCCCACCCCTCACTGTGGGTGGAAGAGTGCGCCCGCCCATCCCCCGCTGTGGGTGGAAGAGTGCACCCCCCCCCCCCCCTCACTGTGGGTGGAAGAGTGCGCCCGCCCACCCCTCACTGTGGGTGGAAGAGTGCGCCCGCCCATCCCCCGCTGTGGGTGGAAGAGTGCACCCCCCCCTCACTGTGGGTGGAAGAGTGCGCCCGCCCACCCCTCACTGTGGGTGGAAGAGTGCGCCCGCCCATCCCCCGCTGTGGGTGGAAGAGTGCACCCCCCCCCCTCACTGTGGGTGGAAGAGTGCGCCCCCCCCCCCCTCACTGTGGGTGGAAGAGTGCGCCCGCCCATCCCCCGCTGTGGGTGGAAGAGTGGGAGAGAGAGAGTATTAACTCTTCAAAATTCATTCTTTACATTTTTTTTTTTTGGTCTGACGCCTGAACGCGTTTCGTAAGCTTCTTACATTTTCAAGGCCTAGTTTACACATGTTGTTATTGTTGTTTTAGATTTAGCTACTCGGAACGAAATGTTATTCGCGATAACCTTGTTACTCTGATATTTGGGTCAAAGTTTTAATTGGTGGTGGGGTTTCCTCCTTTTTCCCCGTTTCTTTTTCGCTTCTGTTTTAGTCGTGTTTTAATAACATTATCTTGCTGGCGGATGTAGGTGCAGAATGTTCACTGGTGAGTCCCATTCTTTAACGGTTTTTCTAATCATTGTAGTCGCGGTGGAATGTGCATCTTATGCAGCTGCTGTCGTTGGATTAATGTTGAGTTTGATGAGCAGGGCTTCAGTAGCTTCACATTCCAGTAAGTAGTGCAATAGTGGCGCCTCTGCTTCTGTTCCACAGATGTGACACTCTTTTAACTATTGGGTTTATTACCTCCCAGCAGCACTTGTAACCAAGTCTGTGTATGGCTACTGCAATGTCTCTGGATATCTTTTTGCCAGGCTTGAAAGAGGAGTAACCAGTGGCTTGTTCGTACCATATCACAGTGGATCTTCCTTCCGCTACTTTGGCTCTGTGGCGACTTTTGATTGTTGAGAATATTTTCTTCTTGATTTGCTCCTTTATCTGTGAGAAACTTGGAGGTATTTGAACCTGTACAACAGGTAGAACAGTGGCAGTTTTTGCTAGTGAGTCTGCCTTTTCATTACCATCTATGACAATGTGACTTGGTATCCAATTTAGGGTGATTGACAGCCCTATATTATGGGCTTCTTTTCCTGTACGTATGATTTCTGTGAGGAGTTGTATATTATCTCTGTGCTGACTGGATAACAATGCCTGGAGCGAAGATTTAGAGTCGATATGAATGATGACATCATGTAAATTATTCTCAATTGTATAGTTTATGTCCTGCTTCAGGGCATATAATTATATTTGCAATGTTGAGCACCCACTATTCATGCTCCAGTAAGCTTCATGGTTGGTAGTGTAAACTGCTGCCCCAGCAGAACCTTTTTCTTGATCAACTGATACGTCTGTGAAGATGTGAGTCGTTGTGGGTCTTGAGATGGTTTCCATTTGTTGCTCTATGACTGCTTTGAGCCTCTGTGAGTCACATTCTGGTTTTTTAACTGGTAGTCCTTCAATTATTATCTTTAAACTTTAGATGCAGGCTACCAAAAGGTACTTGAAAAATTAGCTCTCCAAAATTCATTCTTTACATTTATATTTTTGGTCTGACGCTTGAACGCGTTTCATAAGCTTCTTACATTTTCAAAGACTAGTTTACACATAACATACATCATACTTATACTCGTTTTGGGTGAAGTGATATGGCTTCTTAAACCTTGCTGGAATCAACCTCACTGAGGACAAAATCACACTCTTAAATCTGGGTATAAACTGTAACGTTATGTCCAGACCAAGTGAGATGGCCCGGAAAGTGGAGTTGGAGATCCTATTGGACGATATATTTGACCTCGAGATACAAAAGAAGGTCACCACTAAAGACACCTTGCAAGTAGAACTTATTGCAGAAGGAGGAAAGTTTCGAGGTAGCTACAGAAGCACCATACTGTGCCCCGAGCTCAAAGCGGCAGCTAAGAGCCTTCGTGACAACAAGGAGATAGTCGTCAGGAGAGGTGACAAGTCGCCAATATACGTTATTCTTAAAAAAAAATATCTGGCAAAAATGAACCTCATACTCTCTGACCAAACTAAATTCCAAAGGGTAACTAAGGACACTACAACAGAATTGAAAACGAAGGTAAACAGATTGATCGAAACTGTGAACGCCAAGAAATCCGGACTCCACCTGCCAAAAGTTGTTGAGGAATACAAACCTGGTTATGCGTATGGGAATGTCAAGACCCACAAGCCTGGAAACCCACTTCGGCCAATCATCAGCCAGAAACCCACACCCACATACAGACTGGCTAAGCGACTCAACTGCTTGCTGACTCATGCACCTTGTGCTTTCAGCCTGAAGTCTCCCAAGGAATTCGTTGATTTACTGTGGGGAGCACGGACTACGGGGATAAGAGCCTCGTTGAATGTAGAGTCACTGTTTACCAACGTTCCTGTGGATGAAACAATCGGAATGATAGTGGATAGTGTGTATCGTGATCCGGCTTGTACTCCTCTTGACATACCAGAAAACATACCAAGATACTCCAAACCTGCACTAAAGAGGCACCCTTCTTGAGCCCGGATGGGCACATGTATAAGCAAGTAGATGGGGTCGCCATGGGTTCTCCCCTAGGTGTCCTGTTTGCGAACTTCTACATGGGTACCATCGAACAAAAGGTCTTAGTCGACATGAACTTGAAACCGGCCATATACTGCAGGTATGTTGACGACATTTTTACAAAGGTACCTGAAGTCAGATATCTGCAGGAGCTGAAGGAGGCATTTGAGTGGAATTCTGTGTTGCGTTTCACTTACGAGATGGAGAAGGATGGGAAGCTGCCCTTTCTAGATGTAGCAGTCATGGAAAGGAGCGGAGGTTTCCACACTGCAGTCTACACTAAGGAAATAAACATAGGAATGTGCCTAAATGCCAACAGTGACTGCCCAGACAGGTAAAAGAGGAGTGTTGTTAACGCTTATGTCGACCGTGCTCTCAGCCACAGCTCAGGATGGAAGCAAGTCGATGAAAAACTCTGTAGGGTAAGGCAGGTCCTAGTCAACAACGGCTTCTCCAATGGTTTCGTCGAAGACATCATAAGAAGGAAAGTGAAACGCCATGCAACCTCTGAAGAGACAACTAACACAACACCTATACCCCCTATTAGACTATTTTACAGGAACTTCTTTTCCCACAGCTCATAAAACGGAGGAAAGGGTCCTGAAAGATATTGTTAATAGAAACGTTATCCCTACAGACAAAAATCAGAATATACAATTGACGATTTACTATAAAACCAAGAAAACGGCCAACCTACTCATGAAAAACTCTCCAGACACAAAGCAGAACGCTTTAAAAGAGACCAACGTCGTCTATGCCTTCAAATGCCCACTTGGGAACTGTAAGCCTCAAAGAACTCAGTATATAGGCAAGACAACAACATCTCTTTCCAGGCGATTAACGATGCATAAGCAACAGGGCTCCATTAAGGAACATATAATCTCTTCCCACAACCAGACCATCACCAGAGAAGTCTTAACAAAAAACACGGAAATCATCAATAGATACAGCGATAGCAGGCGGCTTGATATCTGCAAGGCACTACACATTAAGAAGTCAACACCAGTAATCAACAGCCAATTAATGCACAACTATATTCT